TAGGGATCCCTGTTGACAAAGTCCGGATGTGACGAAACGCATCCGGGGCACGTGACGTGGCGACGTAGTGACGCTCTTCCGGAAGTGCCGTAGCGGCCATCTTTGATCCTGGAACACGCGGCTGGTCTGTCCTGGAATCCTCCACATGTGGTTATGTTTATCTGGGGAATCTACCACCTATGATTTATTCCTCCTCCGGAGTGGTATGGTGAGGATACCTAAATACTACTGAGGAGGGGCACGATTGTGGAATCATTTTCTCTGTATGGAAGCTCATCTCATCATATTTTAATGTAAGTTGCTATAATAAAGTGTTATTATTATTTATGATATACACTGATCCCTGGTCTGTTTATGAGGTCTGTGGGAAGTGGCTGGAAAGGCTGAGGAAAAAAAGGTTGGAAATAATCTCATCTATATGATGGTCCCTATGATATCATCTTGAGGTTTTTTTCTTTGAGGTATATGAAGATTTTTCTTGGATTATATTAATAATACTGGTTGGAAACACAAAGAATTGAGGAATCACCGATAAAGACTAACATTTTTTTGGGATTTTATTTTGGGACTTTAAACACTAAATTTAGGTTTATTGGAATCAAGTTTGCTTAAAGATTGATTTATTTATGTATGTACTTCAGGGGAAGGACTGTTAAAGTGACTTGGTGGGGTGTTATAAGTAAAGAAGGATAGTGCTGGTATTTATAATATAGAAATGTAGGATTTGCTTGGCCTGACAGCCTTGTACCAAATCTACTACCACTGGGTTCCCAGCATCGAAAACCAATTAACCATCTGGGTGAAATTACAGTTTCCTTTAACATTGTCATGTGTTTGCAACTTCAGTCTCACTTTCCAATCTGGATAAAGATACTACAATGGTCATGAAAAATGCAGAACCTAAATCTCTAAACACAATAACAGCATTCATCTTAAAGGCTTGTATACAGAGCCATTTAGAAAATACTAGAAGTATTCTCCCAACATTAGAGATATATCAGGCACTGCAGACATCTGTATAGATGAGTTGTATCCTCTATGTATATGTGAAAAATATTCATGTCTGATTAGAGTACACCATCAGGAATTTAACGAGCCCATTCATAGTGCACTGGAGTAATGTACACTGTACGATACACTTTACACATCTTGTTTTAAAACACCCTAGTACACATTCAGAACACAACTGCACTATGGCACACTGCTAGACATAGTGTAATGTAGATCGTGATGTGCTGCAATGAAAAATAATAAAGCAGGGGTGATTTAGGTTGGTGTCCATTCAAAATAAATGGGCAAAAAGGGAATATGTTTAATAACAATAGTATTAATAAAAAAAATATTAGCCAAAAATAGCAACCCTCATCATAAAGGTATTTAGCTTGAAAACATATAGATTTTACAATTATAAAAATGTAAACTTCTGAATTACAAATAACAGACAGCTTTATGTCATCTGGCCATTTTAATACACCATATAGACCTACCTTAATAAAACAGAATCTGATATACGTCTCAAACTGTTTCTTGGATTCAGGTCCACAAAATGCTGTTACTGGAATAGCAGCTAGTTTCTAAAATATATTTCAAAGATATAAAATGTTATTTGCTATAGATATTCCCCGGTTAGTTGACAAAAAAAACATGCTGTGCGAGTCTACATGATTAACTAGATTGCTTACATATACTGCTCCAAACTTGCTAAACAAGGGGCCAATTTGCATTCTTCAGACCTTAGGGGGGTCAGACAGTGGCAAGTGGGAGCAAAAAATGGTGGGAGTGTCAGTGGGAGCAGAAAAGAAAGAAAGTGTCAGTGGGAGCGGACAATTTCTTAGACTTCTGGTGGTCAATGGGAGTAAGTAAAAATACACAGCGTCTGCTGCCAGTAAAAGAAGACATAGCGCCCCATCACTGGTATTAGTGAGAGGAATAGTGTCCCATTATTGGTGACAGTGGAATGAATTATGCCCCTTCATTGATGTCAATGGAAGGAATAATGCCTCGTATCACTGGGAGCAATAGTGCCCCATTATTGGTATCAGTGGAAGGAATAGTGCCACATTACTAGTATCAGTGGGAGGAAAAGTGCCTCAATCATTGGTGGCAGTGAGAGGGAAAAGTGTTCCACTCTTGGTGTTAGTGAAAGGAATAGTGACTCATGTTTGGCGTTACTAGGAGGAACAGTGCCCCAAAGGCTGGATAAAGGCATGCAAAGGACCACATCCAGTCCATGGGCCACTGTTTGAAGACCACTGCTTTACACTAGAAGCTAGCAAAATAAATAAATGTTCCAAGTGCTTTGCTTTGATGTGAGTACACTGCAAGTAAATTTGACTTATCTTGAACAATACTATAAATGCTGCATTACCCACCTTAGTTTTAATCATCCACTTTACAAATTTGTAATCATAAGGTTCATCATCTTTCACTTCAGAAAGATCCACACCTTCAACATAAAAAATAAACACATACATATATAAGAGAGATCTGGTTAAGCACAGATATATTACATATTATATTTGTTATTTTTATTTTTACATTCTTATTTCTTACAGGTACTTGTATAGCACGATCAATTTACGCAGTGCTTTACACACACACACACACACACATATATATATATATATATTACATGCACATCAGGAACATGTACTATACCCCCAAGGAGCGTTACAAGCTAAGCTCCCTAACTCGCATTCATACATACACATACTAGGGCCAATTTAGACAGGAAACAATTAACCTACCAGCATGTCTTTGGAGCGTGGGAGGAAACCCATGCTGGCACAGGGAGAACATTCAAACTCCAGGCAGGTGGTGCTGTGGTGGGATTCGAACCAACGACCCTAGTACTGCCAGGCAGAAGTGCCACTGTGCTTTTCTTGCATCGTCTACTTTGTTCTAGTGTGGTTGTGAACTCTCGGAAACAAAACACTTTACTTACTTTCAATATGCTGTATTCAGTGCCTTTTGAAGCCTACTAAATGAGCACTAGGTGTCACTGTAGCACAAAAAGAACTACATTAGATAATCAAAGATGCCAATCGTCTATTTCATGAAGCTTTTTCCTCTTGTTTAGCCATTTACTCCATACAGCGCTTAACATAGCTCACACCATTTTAGATGTACAACATGCTTTGTTTAGCCTGCTCTGAAAGCAGCAGTTTTACCACTACTGGAGCAATCAACACTGTCAGTGTGGTGTTAGGATGAAACCCATGTGAATGTTAATTCATAAAGAATACTGCAAAAGTTACCTCTCCTTCAAGCAAACCTGTATTTTGCCCATTTAATCTTTAAAGCCTCATTTACACTTGAGTTTCCCTCTGAAGAGTGATCCACATTATAGCATATACTTACTTTTTGATCCACTTTGTTGCTGCCTTCAATGTTGGGAGCCAAAGAAAACACTCAGGTATGGAGAAACACATCATAGCCCTGTGTAAGCTACAACTTTAACGACCTGTAGATTACACACGGCTTTCCATTAGACCTAATTTACACTTCTGGTCACCCCCTTCCCAAAATAATGACCCACATGGGTCAAACAAACAGACGTATGTTAAAGCAGGCATAACATGTTGTCCGTTGTCCTGTCACTCCTCCTCTGTGGCCCAGAGCCATGAGTGGTATGGTACATTTATAAAGCACAGGGATTGGCTTTACAAATCTGAGACCAGAGAACCGAATCATTTGACTTGTCATATTCATGTGACTGGCTCTACTCCAACCACAGAGTCCTCTATGCTTCATCAAGTAGAGAGAACTCTGTAGGACACTGAAGGCTTAACTTCATGTCCTGCATTTTTGAATGGGCCGTAAAATGCAGGTTGCGGCATGGAGAAACCTTGCAGAGTATAACAGAGACCAAAAGGGATATCTGCTCTTTAACACAAAACATTACAAGAGCAAATCAGAGAGCTTGATTTACTAAAACTGGAGAGTGCAAAATCTAGTGCAGCTCTACAAAGAAACTAATCAGCTTCCAGATTTTTTGTCACAGCATAATTGAACAAGCTAAAGTTAGAAGCTGATACAATGGCTACAATGCACAGCTGCACCAGATTTTGCACTCTCCAGTTTTAGTAAATCAACACATATACATATATATATATATATATACACACACACTACGTAAATAGATAGCACTATAGAGGTACCTGTAATAAAATAAATAAACCCCAGTGTGTTCCTACGCTGTAAAACTGGAACAGCTGTGCTTTAGATAGGTGTGTGATTTTAAAGGCCAATCATCAAGGTTTCATAATTCGTATGACAGAGAGAAGTCAGTATTTGTCACTCTGCTCAGTCAAGTCATTAAAGTGTTACTAAAAACTCAGGACCCTGTATTCACTCTATCTGGTCTCCCACATTACACAACATGGAAATGCAATTATTTAAGTAAATATAAACTGCTAAATACCTTTTCTCATCAGCAGTATATAGCTGTCTTGTAATCTCTATCAGTGTCCAGCTAAGCACTGGTTAATCTTATAGGAGGAAATTTTATTTTCCTCTGACTGTGAGGCTGCATGACCCTTGACCGTCTGTCTGGATGGTGCTGATTGGCCCTGTGCCCATCACACATGCAATCTCCCTCCCCCCCCAAAAAAAAAACAACACTCTAGCAATACACACCAAACTGAGCATGCTTACTAGCCCTCTGTATTATCAACAGATTTATTGGGGACTGTGGAAGCAGGGGAGGATCAGAGAAGACAGGACCAAACAGCCTTTTAACACAATGTGGAGAATTAACCCCTTAGGTTCCACAGTGAGTATACCAAGCATGCTTTACTGCATATACAGACTGATTTTACTGTTGTGGGTTTAGTAACACTTTAAGATTAGTGCATAAACACTGCTAATAACTGCAGGTTATGTGTGATTTCAAAAGATAGAACAGTAAAAATAAACTATAGATAGGTCTATCGTTCATGAAAGGCAGGTATTTCAATCATTTGTACTCTGGAGAAGTAAATAGTTAATATGCAATAAAGTCAGAGTGAACATAGTTTGTTACCGAGTGCAGAAACATCTGCAATCATGAAATATCCTCCTTCTGGAACAACTGGCTTTAGTCCAGCTTCCTGAAGCAAGCAAGCCATTCGGTCACGCTTGGCTTCTAATTCCCGGGGTAGTGAGTTGAAATAGCATTCTGGTTCATCCATCCTTTTGAAGTCCTTGAAGAGAGAATGGGCCAGGGCCTCCTGCACAACACAGTAAAAGTGGCTGTCATATGGGACCCAATCCAACAATTGCTATTTGATGTATGTATACCTGTAGCATGTTTGTCTTTGCCCCAATTCGGAATACATTCCAGTAATAAATACATAAAGACATCCCAATAAACTTTTAACAAGAAAAAACACTTTGAGTCACTCCAAAGTAAAATGTCACTACAAACACTAGAACTTACAGATGAAACTCAAAAAATTAGAATATTGTGCAAAAGTTCATTTATTTCAGTAATGCAACTTAAAAGGTGAAACGAATATATGTGATAGACTCATTACATGCAAAGCAAGATAGTTCAAGCCGTGATTTGTCATAATTGTGATGATTATGGCTTACAGCTCATGAAAACCCCAAATGCACAATCTCAGAAAATTAGAATATTACATGCAATCAATAAAACAAGGATTGTACATAGAACAATATCGGACCTCTGAAAAGTATAAGCATGCATATGTACTCAGTACTTGGTTTGGGCCCCTTCTGCAGCAATTACTGCCTCAATGCGGCGCGGCATGGAAGCTATCAGCCTGTGGCACTGCTGAGGTGTTATGGAAGACCAGGATGCTTCAATAGCGGCCTTCAGCTCTTCTGCATTGTTTGGTCTCATGTCTCTCATCTTTCTCTTGGCAATGCCGCATAGATTCTCTATGGGGTTCAGGTCAGGCGAGTTTGCTGGCCAATCAAGCACAGTAATTCCACGGTCATTGAACCAGGTGTTGGTGCTTTTGGCAGTGTGGGCATGTGCCAAGTCCTACAGGAAAATGAAGTCCGCATCCCCATAAAGCTTGTCTCTGGAAGGAAGCATGAAGTGCTCTAAAATCTCCTGGTAGACGGCTGCACTGACCCTGGACTTAATGAAGCACAGTGGACCAACACCAGCAGATGACATGGCTCCCCAAATCAACACAGACTGTGGAAACTTCACACTGGACATCAAGCATCTTGCAGTGTGTGCCTCTCCATTCTTCCTCCATACTCTGGGTCCTTGGTTTCCAAATGAAATGCAAAAGTTGCTCTCGTCAGAAAAGAGGACTTTGGACCACTGAGCAACAGACCAGGTCTGTTTTTCTTTAGCCCAGGTAAGACTCTTCTGACTTTTTTTGTTGTTAAGGAGTGGTTTGACAAGAGGAATATGACATTTGAAGCCCATGTCCAGGATCCGTCTGTGTGTAATGGCTCTTGATGCACTGACTCCAGCCTCAGTCCACTCCTTGTGAAAGTCCCCAACACTTTTGAATGGCCTTTTCCTGACAATCCTCTCCAGGCTGCGTTCATCCCTGCTGCTTGTGCACATTTTTCTTCCACACTTTTCCCTTCCACATAACTTTCTATTAATGTGCTTTGATACAGCACTTTGGGAACATCCAACTTCTTTTACAATTACCTTTTGAGGCTTTCCCTCCTTATGGAGGGTGTCAATGATGGTTTTCTGCACAACTGTCAGGTCAGCAGTCTTTCCCATGATTGTGATTCTTACTGAACCAGACTGAGAGACCATTTAAAGGCTCAGGAACCCTTTGAAGGTGTTATGGCTTAATTATCTGATTAGAGTGGGACACTTTGAGCCTAGAATATTGCACCTTTTCACAATATTCTAATTTTCTGAGATTGTGGATTTGGGTTTTCATGAGCTGTAAGCCATAATCATCACAATTATGAAAAATCACGGCTTGAACTATCTTGCTTTGCATGTAATGAGTCTATCTCATATATTAGTTTCACCTTTTAAGTTGCATTACTGAAATAAATGAACTTTTGCACAATATACTAATTTTTTGAGTTTCACCCGTACTGTATGAGTTGCTTGTAGCCGTATTACTGCATTTGCGACAGAAACAAGGGGACATTCCCCGAAAGCTTGTCCTCAAAATTGTATGTTAGTGCAAATAAAAAAAGTATCACGGACCTGTACTGTACAATCTCTTTTAGATTCACCAACTATATAGTGCAAAGGCTGCAAACTCACAGGCTCGTCTGACAGTGGTGATAGAAGATCTTTTCTGCAACTAGCCTTTTTGGTTGCTAAGGGAATGTTCCTAATGGGTTCACATGGTAGTTTCTGCATGGCAGATATGCAAGTTGAGATCCCAAGAACACACGGGGTGCTGCAAGGGGGCCTTAATAAGAGATACACCCTGAAAAAAAAATTTTCAAAGGGAGAGAGAAACCAGTGGTCTTTGAAAGTGAATAGACAAGACTGAGATCTGCCTTTTAAGGGTGCTTAAAGTGGTTGCATTCTATGCATGAAGATGAAAATACCTTCTGAGCGTGTTGTTCCGCCCACAGCCCCCTCTCAACCCAGTGGTGTGCATGGGAGCCTTGGCTGTCCTGAGTCTCTCTCTCTTCTTTGGATGAGGCACAGCTGTTGGAGCCATTGGCTCCCATTGCTATCAATCACAACCAGTGAACCAATGAGTAGATAGCAGGGGGCGTGGCCAAGCCATGGCTCTAGGTGTCTTGTGGACACATAGAGCAGGGCTTGGGAGCATGCATACACCAGTACCCCCATAACAAGCGGCTGGTGCTGGTGAAGGGGGAAGGAGCCAGTAGCACTGGCAGGGGACCCGAGAAGGAGAGGATCGGGGTTGCTCTGTGCAGGACCATTGCACAGAGCAGGTAAGTATAACATGCTTGTTATTAAAAAAAAACAACCTTTAATATCACTTTAAAGAATATGTAAACCCAACATTTCATATTCCTGTTATGTGCCTGCTGTATCATGTACTTGTATGAAAAAGTATTCTATGCTCTTTGTATTGCTCCCATTGTGAGAAATCTCTGGTGTTCTTGCCAGTCCCTCTTTCCTATTAGAAGAGCACAGTGTAGTGAGTACTCTAGCCTGCTCTCCTCCAATGATCAGACTTGTTCTGACACGCAACCCCCCCTTCCCCCGCACAGACATTCACTGGGAAGTTCAGTATGTTGCAGTTTCTCCTCCCCCGCTACTTATGCAGCTGAGAACAGAGGAAATGCAGGTGGATGTCGGGTCACATGCAGGGGAGGAGCCTGAACATGGCGGCTGTGGGGAGCGTGCGGCAATAGCTCCCTGCTAAAGTGCCGCTACTCGACCTCCCTAGTGACCCTCTGAAGCAGGACTTGGGGATCTGACTCACCGGAGTCTGTCGGACAGCGGAGGAGGAGAGGAGAGAGAGCCGGAGATGGGACCAGGGCGGAGGTGGCAGTGACGCGCTGGTCCGCCCGGCGCCTTACGGGGGAGAGATCCGGGAGGCTGTGGGCGAGGTGACGTGGTGGGAGCACGTGACCGGCCCCAGAGGATCTCTGGGAGAAGGAAGAAACCGGCCGGCGTCCCGATGTAAGAGGGAGCCGTCGGCTTACATATGTTCAATCCCCCCGGCCAGCTGATCGATCCTGAGTCTGGGTGACCCAATAGAGGGAAAAAGAACCACCCTGCTTTCCTGTGAAGACCTAGAACAAAAAACAGGAGGAGAAAAGTGAATCCCAGAGGAATCCCCCCTAGGACTGAGCTGCTGCGAAAGCCCTACATCTTAAAGCTCGGAGCCACTGTTTGGAGAAGAAGAAGGGTGAGTGAGAGCTGTTGGGGGCTTATCGTATGGGTGATCCCCGAGTGATATAGGAGATCCAGGGGTGAAGGAGAGGAGGGGAGGATTCCCTGGGTTAAGAAAGAGAAGAGGAGAAGAGTTCCAGGTGTCCTAGGAGAGTAAGAATATAAGGAATAACAGCAGGCTAGTCTGGTGTACAAATTAAAGGACTGATATAATTTCATCTTGAGAATAAGAGAAGAAATCCGAGATTTATAGGACATGAAGAACAAAGGTCCTAAGGGAACAGGGCTCAAAGGGTCTCAAACAGGTACGATAAAGAAATTTACATCGCAAGGAAATATTACGCCAGAAAGGGCCCAAGGCGCAAGCGCAAAAGGGGAAATGGATATTACTCTGGGAAATAGCCCTAGATTATCAATGGGTATGAATAGTAGCTGTAGCCACCTAACAACAGAGGACTTGGAAAAAAAAAGAACTAGACGGTGAACTACAAGCACCAAATGAAAAGGAGATGATAGAAATGTTCCAAAATTTGGAAAAAATGATAAAACATGAAATGACAGCTGTGCGGAATGATTTAGGACACCTGCTAATGAGAGTGGAAGAAACAGAGGAAAAAGTTAAAAACCAGGCCCAAACCATAGATAATCTAGAGAAAAAAATAACTTACTTGGAGAATACCCAGAAAAAATTGCTCTATAGGATGGAAGTTCAAGAAAATAAAGAAAGAAGATGTAACCTTAGAGTTCGAGGAATTCCAGAGCAAGTAAAAGGGGAACCACTATATGACCTAGTTGTAAAAATTCTAAACTCCATAAGAGACAGACCTGAAACAGACGGGATTAAACTGGATGGAGTGTTTAGAATAGGAAAGCTTTATCAAGCTGCGGAGAAGGAAAGACCAAGAGATACAGTAGTCCAGTTCCAAAAATTTGGGGTCAAAGAGGAGATTTGGAGGAAGATTAAAGGAAGATCATTAATTAAGTATGGAGACTTAAATATCCAAATTTATGCGGACCTAACACCAGAGACCCTATGGAGAAGGAGATCCCTGAGACCCTTGTTGGAACAAATGAGAAAACAGAACGTCCAGTATAGATGGGGTACCCCAGCTTGTTTAATTGGCTAGAAAAATGGCGTAACAGCATATTTGAGATACCCGGAGGAACTGAGAGATTTTTGTGACAGACTGAAACTGCAAAGAATGGTGATAGTGGGGTGGGAAGAAGAAGAAAAAGAAAGAAGGGAAACAGAAGATACAAGAAAAGAAGACTGGCAGTGGGTTGGGGGGAGGGGGGGGCCCGGGGGTTGGGGAGAGAGAGGAGGGAGAATTGAGAGAAAAAAAATATTTTTTTTTTTCTCTCCTCTATCTCTCTCGACCCCCCAGACCCCACCTTTGTTGAAATGGTAATCCCTCGGGTGCTTCGGTTGAAAGGGGAAGTAAAGAT